ACATCGTTTACTTATAAAATTAATTCTTTAATTCTGTAATATATTTGTGGACTTAAGTTTCATATTCATCGTTTCAGCTGAATATTATTCAGTAAAGTTTCATAATTCTAAAGCTTAAAATACGAAGAAATAATTTGGACAACATCAAAGCTAGATGCGACAAAAGGTCTTTAGGTAGGCTTCAAATTTGCACTTTAATTACAGATAATGGGACTGAAAATAAAAATGGTGGGATTACGGGATGAAATTTATTTATTTGTGATAAATATTCTGCGAATTAAGTTTATCTGGTGACAAATTTGAAGCTATTTTATCAGTTGCTCTGATCATGGATGTTATCTTAATCAAATTCCTTCATCCCTAACTACCGTCTCTTTTTGGATTTCTATCTTTTTTCTTTAATGAATATCTACATTTTTGAAGAAAACGGTCAGTTAGAAAAACAAGATTCGTAGTGAAATGTATAAAATTTCCTTTTGTACTATCTTCCCCCAATGCGTTGACAAATAGACTTAGATGTTACACAGTACGTGTTTTCATAATACAGATATATTTTACTGACAATGCCATTTATGCTAGTCCAAACCTTGAAATAGTAAACATATTACAAAGTCAAAGTATAAAAACTGTTTTGTAAGTAAGAATAGAAGACAATTATACTCAGGTTTAGGATATTGTTTTTTTGTAAGTTTAACATTCTTCATTTGTTCTATTGGTCTTATCGTATAAAAACTGATAAAAACAATATGGCTTCTTAGTCATGTCACTTTGATTATTTTTATTTTATCTGAAAAAATCCGAACGTGTTCTGTTTATAGAAAACGGTCAATATGTCTCTTTTGTTGTTTAAAAAAAAATCTCTGTGTGTCCTCTGACAAACTCGTATTATAGTGCTTTTGATACTTGCTTGGTAGTATTTTCACTTTTCAGTTTTACAATGTTCGTACAATGGACGGATGACTAGTAAATATTCTTCAGTATACACATACAAAATGTCGATAGTTTAAAAGGTAACCATTTTTTTTATAATTATTAATTGATTGTTGGTTGTTTAACGTCCAGTGGCAAATATTTCATGCATGTTCAGGACGATTTTTTACAATTATGATAGCAGCAAGATATTTAAAACTTGTAAAAATCAGTCTCAAGAGATAACAAATATAACCAAATGCCTGGACATATGAAACCATCTAGTTGATTGTTCTAACAATGAAGTTGTGTGTATAAGATCGTTTATGTGTGAGGAGTTTTGATTTGAAGTCATTGGAGAATAGGATACTAATTGAAAAATTACAAAGTTTTGATGCAGTTATAAGATTGTGGTAAATCAAGACATTTCATAGCTGATTTATGACAGTATCGTATCGGAAACAATAGAGCGAAAATACACCATTGGTCAATTTAAGCAAAGTACTGCTCACAAAATTTATTCATTCTAGTATTGTCAATGAAAAAAAGTTGTCGAAATATTGTCGATAAAACTCCATGAACCAAAGAGTAGTGTGAAGATCTTTGAAAAAAATGTATTCAAAATTGTAAACAAGACACGCCCTTTATGTGTGGTCACTTATTATGATAAACAGAACAAGTCACTCCTTTGTCATGGCTGACCTCTGCGCCTCAATGATTTTTAAAAGATATTGAATTTTGTAAGATATGTATACATTAAATACGGCTATTTTGAATTTGACCCAGAAAATTTTCAAGTTTAAGATAATTTAAAATGTTTCCAGTCACTTCCATATTTTTTAACATTTTAAATTCATACATGTATCTTTAGTAAAGATTTCATTTTATGCTTTTAATTGATCTTTTATGGATAATTTTCAGACTTTTGTTTTAATAAAAGCATTTACTCTAAACTGAGCATAAAAAGGTGTGTTCATTGGTTTCAAAGTAATAAGTTGAATAATAATGTTAAGGGTATAAATCTCAACCAGAAAGAGAAAATAGTATCTATTAAACAGAACACAATTTTCAATGTTATTCAACCTTAAAAAAGTGATATCAAAATGGTCCTCTACTCATCTATATGTAGCAATAATATACCCATCTGAGTATATAAAAATATTTCATAAGGATGATACTATGGGGTTATCAGTTGGCGCAAGCGCTTGAGTTTATTCTATGGTGCGATAACATTATTTTTTTAATCCAGTGTCGTTTCTGCAGATTATTTCTCGACATGCTAATTGTAATGTTTGAATGAATATGGATTAGTATCAGTGTTATAGTCTTTCATATTCAATTCTATCGTTTCATGCTTATATCTAACTCAGATTCAAATGTGATTAAATCATATTTTCACTAAATGAATTACCTCTCCCGTTTAAATACAATACAAATCTTAATTTCGGATTTCTGTGCAAGTAACTTGAATTTACTCAGTTTTTGTCTCTCCTAAGGAATTGCAAAACACTATCAAAACTCTTGACTCTTTTTTTTCAAATTACACTTATGAATTTTATTCATTTTAGCGAAGTAAGAGAAAACTACCTAATCTAATCATTATTATCCGCTTTGTTTTTCCTTTTCTCCAACTGTTTTACAAGAAAAACTAGCAAGGTTAATAAGATAGTAAAATATTTTCAAATCAATAAATAACTGCTACAACTTCAGTATAAATAACTCAATATCAATTATCGTTCACTAATGGCTGTTTTTCATGGAAATGTTAATAGCTCTGTACACACCATTTTCTCCATTAAAAGACTTGTTATTGATTAGAATCGTATGCGCAACAAGTTAAATAGGGATAAGGCGGAACCAGTGTGTATTGAAATAAAACAATACAAATATACAACTCTCGGCAACCTTTAATTGCTTTCTTCTTTCAAACACAAACAGTTGTCGAAATGTAAATTTGGCATACATCTAAGAACTCCGCCTTTTGATAAATCAAACAGTCAAGAAAACTACAATACTTTTAACATTTCATTAGCATAATTTTCTTGGGAAACGAAATGTTAGCATTAATAAAGTGAAAGAAGGTCACAGCTAATTAATTTGTTTTGCGTTTGAGTTTTTAATTAAGAATGTGTTTTTGTCTATCATAAGCATTTGTATCAATTTATTTTTAGCCTTCACGGTTATATTAAATAAGCTTTCCTATGAAGCTAGCAATCTGATCTTTTTTAAGATTTTAAAACAAATCATTGGATTTAAAATTAGTCGAAAATTACAAACTAATCGGCAATATTTTCGCTATATCGTTCCCTTTACAACTTTACGAATTTTGGTGTTGGGAACTCTTAAAAACAACGAATCATTTTTGTTTGACCACACACAGAGGTTTAAGATAAGTTGATATTTTTTTTCTGTCACATCAGTTTGAAAAATAAAAATATTGCAATGAAAAGAGTCCAAAAATATATAAAAAAATAAAGATAAAGATAATTTTACTTTTCATTGTAAATTTATATTATGTTTATACATTAACTGAAAAGTCATATTCAAATATTCTTTTAATATATAAAAATATCATTTAAATAGATTTAGAATAATTATAATATATATTTCAAATTATTTGGAACTTATGAACAAAATTTAGAGAGCACGCTTTTAGTTATATATATTAGCAATTAAATTAAAAATAAAAAGTAAAATAAATAATTTTCGCCTTTTTTAAGTTCGCATGGAGCAATAAATGCTATTTGCAATTTTATACATTTATAAAATAAAAATTCAACAAGAGGTATCACGCACATATAATTTATTTAAATAATAAAACAGAAAAAAAAAACCAGAATGAATAAATTTGAATAAAAGATCAATTAAATCATACTGTTTATTTTTCGAAACACAGAAAATTATCTGAAATTTAATTATTGTATAAAAGAGTACAAATATTTAAGTAATAAATAGTATAATTTCGTTTTAAAATGCTGAAAAATTCGTAAAAAAAAAACAACACAACGTGCGAGATCTTATGTTAAATGTTTATAATAACAAGACTGGTTTGTGAGAAACGGACGAAGTAATTGCAATTAAGTTGTCTCGGAATTTATAATTCAATTATCTCCTAGGAAATAAATTATTTAGAGCGTATTTCTTTATAGAGACAAATGAATAATTAAAACGGATGCGAAAATTACAATATTATAATTAGGATGTTAAAAATTTAATATTTGGGACAATAAAATTAAAATATTTAATAATTTTGTCAAGAAAATAAAATTGAAATATTTAACGTTTATGAATGTCTATGATCTGTTTTATTTGCTGAATTCATATTTCCCTTATTTTGTTAGGTAATATTTTTTAATTTCATTAAGCCATTATTCATTTATAGCCATATTTAAGTTAATTTTCAAAATGAAATGAGCTACATTTTCAATCCACGTGCAAAGCACAACATCAAGTAAATATTGTTTGATTTTTGTTTTAGTTATTGAATATTTTATAAAAATGTCTACATGCATCACATCAATTTATAACTTATATATATATTCAAAAGTGTTTATTTTGTTGTATTTTAAACATTATTTAGATTCAATTTTGCTGAAGAAGGATAACTGTTATTGCTTTGTGTTGATTTTATTCGCATTTGTACAGGGTAGTAATAAATTTTATTTATTGTATTTTCAGCATAAATTATAAATAATTCGTTTGAAATTAAACATCATAAATGTATTCCTTTGTTTAGTTACATTTGACATTTGAACGAAACGAATATTTCTTTACCATTTTTAAAATTTCTTCGAAAATAAATAGAGAATGCTCAAATTTCGTAATTACATTTTATTATATAAAATTCTTAAAATTATTGTTGGAGTTTGTATTCTTCATAAATGTTATTATGAAAAGGGCGAAAAATGATTGTTTTAATTCAGGTTCGAATTTTCGCGATGCGATGTTTTCGAATTAATTGATTCCATTCTACATTGCATATAATGTCCTTTAGAATATAGTGTTCCTTTTGTCATGACGAAAAGGGGGCATCAAGAGGAGAGGAACTTGTTCCATGACCTCTTGACCTAAAATAGAAAACGAGGACTTACCGATAACCATAGACCAATCCACGCTAGAAATGTGACATTCCAGAACATAGCAGCGTTGCCCATGCTTTACACTGAACGGGTGAAATAAAAAGTTCCTATAAAATTGAAATAAACACGGTTCACCATCTTATTTTGATCAGAAAACAGCAGTTACCGGTCTAAAGCCCAACCTAAAACTGATACAATATCAGGTACCGATAATTATTGACAAGGATTACGTCGGATTCAGCCTCCCAGGTAGTTAAATAATTCTGCAAAGTGTTTAAAAACTGCAGTCTTAATGGCTTTATTTCAATTAATGTAATATAATACCAAAGTTAGACACACATAAGATCTCCCATCACTCATTACTAATATTCAAATTGTAATCGGACCTTATCATTGGTTAAAAATAAGCCGAGGATAAAACATCAGACAAAAACTCCTCAAGGGCAAACAAAAATAGTATTATGACAATTCAATAACTTCGGATATTCCCGCAAGCCACATGGATTACAAAATGTTTCAAATGTTCTCAAATTCAAATACCAATTAAATCGTCTCAAATACATATAGGAAAAGGAAACTGTCAAAAAGTGAGACATTTTACGAGTTTTTCAATGTAATGTGTATTGAAAGCAATGTAAATAAACACGTTTTAGAGAAATATTTCCACAAAGATATCAGTAAATTTTTATCTTTGTTTTAATAACGATATATTTCTAGTATCCACCTATATTTGATTTACCGGTTTAAATAGTGTAAACTCAGACGAAATCATAATCCGGCTTTGATAAAATTACAAGAAAAAATTGTGATATTTAACTAAAAAGGCGACACGCTCTAGTCAGACGCGTGAAAGACACGTATTAAGGGGTACCTTGTGGCTGTTAGGACAACACAGTAATTGGCTCTTAGGATTTCCATATCATCTGGCTTTACGCCTCTTGGGTTTCCGATTTTCCAATAGTTCGCACATTTGCAGACATTAAATGATAAATGCAGTTAAACGACGATGAACATGTAGTATGTAAGCCCCAGCTAGATGTTGAAAATCTAAATAAACCCCATTTTAACTTATCCAAGATTATCTATAAAGGTATACAAGATGCAATATATGATGTTTGAACTGTATGGTACAGTAAAATTTAGACAAAACAGGCTTTTATTGAAAAGAATGACTGGAAGGTCGCTGTACTGCCTTGGTTAATTGATATATTCATTTGTAGTAGTTAAGAAATTTATTATTTCTAAACTAGACCCTGCGCTTTAGAGTTATTGTTGTTGGGTATGGGATTCCAGATAGAGGTGAATTTAGGTTGGGTTCAGAAATCTGTACATTTACTATGTATCACTAAAGACAATAGTATGCACGATAACTTAAGCAACATTTGAGCACAATATTTCCGTATCATGGGAATACTTAAAATTAATAAAACTGTTATGGAATACGATACTATTATCCAGACGTATTTCATGTGAAGGCTCAGCACAGTAAGAGTATGATTCTATTTATTATGTGCCTGTAAGTAAATGAATGATTGATTGTTGCGTGCTTAACATTCGGCTGCAAATACTCCATGTATATTCAGGAATGAAGGGCGGAGAATTTGGACTGCCACTTGAAGATGAGGCTATGTTGGACAGTAGTAGACATATTTCTGTGCATCAGGCCTGTTCCGGACTCATCTGAGAGTTGTTGCAAGGACTCTTAAACGGACAGAGCGTGGCACTCTCTCTTCACGAGGCATGACAGGATTTCACGTCTCCATTCCTATCGGCCGTGACTGCGTATTCAAAAACCCCGCGCAGCCTATGTGACATCCCTATATTCATGTAGCATGGGTTCTTACTGCAAAATAGGAGAGAAGTCCAAGTGACCATATATATACTCCAATCAACCCTGCGATGTCAAGTGAATGAGAATCATGTCAATGTATCCCCTCGCTATAGACATCAATTACAATTCCAAATAAATATAACGACATAACTAGTGAATGTCACAACGTTCAAAATTTACAATTGATATAAAAAATGAGATGTGGTATAGTTCAAATGAGACAACGTTACTATATACCAGTTACCAAATGACGAGAATGTAAACAGCTAAAGGTCACGGTACGGATTTAACAATAAACAAAAACCATACCGTGTAGTATGTTTTGCTAAAACCTATAAACGAAAAACAAATATAGAAGGCAACAACAAAAGAAAACACTGAATTATTGGTTCATAACTTGGGATAGACACACAAAGTATGCGGCGTGGTTAAACATGATTGTGAGCGCTCGAGAAAAATAGAATGGGAAATTGATGCAACAGCACAACATAAGAATAAACTGTAAAATCAGTTAGAAAGGGAAGGACTTATCTGATCGACACGAAGAACTAAAACAACTAACAAAGAGGAAAAAGACACTATAAGTACCGATCTAAGGTTAATCACAGTTACTGAAAACTAATTCAAAGTAAATTTCAACTAATAAATGTTTTCCTAGACTAAAATGTCAACCAGCACATTTTGAACGGATTTAGTTTAAATGCGTAATAAACAGTTTGAGAAACATGTGCAATGCCAAATATAGTATCGACAGGATGTAGAACACTGTATTACGTATTCAGTTATGTGTTATTTCATCAAAATCAAAGACAATATTTAAAAATCTTCTTACAATGTTTATTGATAACATTCAAGAATAAGTTTTATCAAAGGATTAATGAGTTAAAATAGATAAGTTTCTTAATTAACGGACTGTATACACAACATCACCATACAAACTGGGATGCGATATCCAATTTGTCATAGGATTTTTACAGACACAGCCAAACTTCAAAACCAAATCTTTGTTTCTATAAAAGAAAAAAATAGTCATGGTACTAAGTTATTTATGGTAACAAAATCCCTCACTCTAAAATTACCAGTTAACATAAATTACGTTCAATAAAATCTAAAACGTGAAACGGACACGGGAATAGCGAACGAGCTGCCAGAACATTACCGTCTAATAGAAAAAAAATACATAAGGGAAAGAAACCTCGTCTCTTTTGTTGTGGTATCAGTATAGAGTTTCCCGTGTGAAAACTTTCAAAAGGACAATTATTGCTGTTTATATTAAAAGTCAGTCCTCTTGGGTAAATCTCAAGTATAATTAGAAATTCTTATAATCCAAATTGAAAATATCAAGTAAAATGTATCAACATTTTTCTATTAAATGATATTTAGACGGATCTTTACGGAGGTTGACCATAATTGTGATTATTAACAATACTGGAACTAGTATTCTATTTAAGAAGCGCAATTGGTGCCGATAGGAATGCCTACAACCTGTCGATAAATTTTATTGTCGAAAAGTACATAGCTGTTTTCGATAAGAAAATTAACAGCTTTAATCATACATTACACTTCCAGTAAACATGTCTAACATGTTTTCTTTTTCATTACAGGAGAAGGCTTCATATGAGATGCAACAAATACATTTGCAATCAGTTTTTTCAAAGAACCATATGATTAGATAAGAAAACGTAAGATTATGTGGGAATATGTGCGCAGAGGGTCGAAAAGTCATAATTGTCAACCGAATAGGAATGACCACAAAAACAAAAACAACTTATAAAAAAATGCACAGTTTTTTACACTACAAAAAATATTATTTATATATAAAGCTTTATTATACCAATTCAATAATAAGTTCTTAATTGTTAACTAGTTGCAAGGACAGAAAGATAAGTTTTAGAATAATTACTACAAGCCGACATGCAACGAATTTGTAGTTTAGGATGGAATTGGTCGAATATTTGCTACATTAATATAAGTTATTGACTTATATACAGATCGAGTTTTCGTTTCGTTGCTTTTCCGACTTTTCACCGAATTATGGTCATTTGACTTCACATTTTTATTTAAGACAATTGTAATTACAAGTATGGAAATTTTTTTGCAATGTCTGCAAACCTGAAGCTGACATTTAATTCATTAGATGATAACTTGTATATCAAGTTTCCGTTTGAAAGACTTTTCCCGGAATAACAGCCCTTGTAATTACAAAATTTTATGGGTAATGTCTGCAGTTAAGGAACTGATTTTTGGTACGTTGGTGACTTCCAGATTGCATTTGGTATCGTTCTGGTTGGTGGACTTGCTGTTGACCAACCTGCTTATCCTTATTCCGTGACATCTTTCAAATTGAATAGACTGTTTCAAGCGAATATAAAATAAAAAAACAAGCCAGAATTGTGCTGGGAATCATACCACATCTCCTTTTTATATATCAATAATAGATATCAATTATTGCTACCTATATACATAGATATAACTTTTGTTTCTAAATCAATGTGGCTTGAAAGAAACTGGTTTTTGCTCTTCCTAAAACAAAATATGGTGACAATCTTTCCCTTTTACTTTTAAAAAGCATGATCTTTTATTCGAAGTGTAATATATGGAGAAATGGAACGTTTGCATGCTTTTATCGAAATATAAGTTTCGACTATTGATCCACAGTATTAGAACATATAATCCTTATTTTAGTCACGCCACTTCTTGTGTAGGCTATGTAGGCTATGTTCGGCTGTTGTCTGCTCTATGGTCGGGTTGTTGTCTCTTTGACACATTCCCCATTTTTCCATTCTCAATTTTATGTAACAGTACTTCTTAGGCTTACTATTTTTAATTCAGTCTTTATAGGCTAAAGGAAAATTTTATGAAATTGATTTGATCTAACCATATTTTGTGTATGTACCAAGTCAGATTATTTGGACTATGTGATCTGCATTGTTGTTTGTCTTTATTTGTATGTCAGACTATTCTATGCATACCCTATTTCTTTTCAAAAAGCAAAATTTACTATGGCTAACAGGCGAAAAATGATACTGTTAAGAGCCTTTAGATAGAAATAAGAAGATGTGGTATGAGTGCCAATGAGACAACTCTCCATACAAGTCAAAATGTGTAAAAAGTAAACAATTATAGGTCAAAGTACGGCCTTCAACACGGAGCCTAGCCTCACACCGAACAGCAAGCTATAATAACGGGCCCCAACATGACTAGTGTAAAACAATTAAAACAGGAAAACCAACGGTCTAATCTAGATTAATCAAAGTACTGAAGTACTGAACATCGGATGACCGCAATTTCTGGTGGATAGTCACAGGCACTTGTCTCAGAAAAAATAAAATATCTCTATACCTGGAAGTTAGGTTAAGGTACAAAGATTTATTTTTTTTCTGAGACAAGTTCCTGTGTGGATGATGAATAAATGACAGAGAAT